ATTAACTTTATTTTCTCTTCATACAGATTTATGAGAAATACCAAGATTTGTATACCGTAGAACCAAATAATGCACGCCAGCTGGTGGAAATTGCAGCCAGGGATATTGAGAAACTTCTGAGCAACAGATCTAAAGCCCTTGTGGTGAGTTTAAGTTGTGTCTACTCAGTTTATTATTTTCCATTACTTATTTATTACCTTTCATGCTCTATTCTGAGGTTTTCCTTAGTGTGCTTTCTTTACCTTAGAAACTGTGTTCTTCTAATAGGTTCATAAAAGATGAGATCATGGTTTCATTATCAACCCCAAATAATGAGGTAGCTTATTTCTGATTATTAGTTTATTTTTTATATTAGGGTAATTAATGCAAAGGAATAGTATATTTAATTGGTACATACATCTTTTTATACATATGTAAGTTGTGCTATGTAATAATCACATTTAAGTTGATCATATGGTATAAAACCCACAAATATTGCCCATATCCTTAAAGCTGCCTTTGTAGTACCTAGTTTGGTCTCATCACCCTGCCTCCTTGCTAGAGGTGGCCAATTATACTGTATGTAGTGATCAACCACTTGCTTTCTTCCATCAACATTAGGTTTGATGGTTTACCTGGATGTTTATACTCAGCTTTACCTCTTTTTATTCCCAGTAAAATATTATTTTATGGGGCTACACCTTCATTCATTCATTCATTCATTCTCTGTTGGTAAATTATTATTTCAGTTGTTTCCAGATGGGTGCTACTGTGAGTAGTGTTGCTGCATTTTCTTGAACAAGCCTCCTGTTACACATGTGCAAGACTACCTATAGGGTCCATACAGGATAGTAGAATTACTGGACTGTAGGGTATTCACAAAGGCAGCTTTACATAAGTATGACAACTGTTTTGCAAAATCGTTGTATCAATTTAGACCTCTGCTGGCAATATTTGAGTCCCCGCTGGTCCATATTCTATCCAATATGTGGCAATGTCAGACTTCTTAATTATAGGCAATCAAATAGGTGCCAGATGGTACCCTCTGCTTATTACTGATGTGGTGGACATTCTTCTTGTTTTACATTCGTTCACCATTCTTGTTTTCTCTTCAGTGACATAGCAGTTCATATCTTTTGTCCATTTTAATTTTTTAAATTGATTTGTAGGTTATATATTCTTGATGGTAATTCATTTAACTTCTGGGTGGTGCAAACATCTTTTTCCAGTTTGTGACTTGTCTTTTCATTATCTTTATGGTATATTTTGATAAAATAAGTTCTTAATTTTAATGCAGAGTTGGCTTTAAAAATTAGTAGCATTTTGGTGTGTACGCTTTGTTTAAGAAATCCTTTCTTACCCTGAGGTTATAAATATTTTTTACATATTTTACTGTAAAAGATTCCATGTGTTTCAGACCTAGCTGCAACTGCAGACTTAAATATCAGGATAGAGTTTTAAGTTGTAATCCAAATTTTTTTTCTAATCTGTATTTCTTGGGGCAGTAGTTTGCCTTCCCCCAATGCCTTCCTCACCATATTCTTCTTCAAAGGGATCTTGAATATTCTTGAATCTTCACCTTTTATCTAGATTTTTGATTCAGCGTGCTATTATCAAAGATAATCTTTACTGGGATTTTGATTGGTATTGCATTGACTCAGACCAAACTTGGAAGAATTGGTATCATGATGATGTTTTTCTATTTATAAACATGATATTCTCTCCACTTACAGTTTTTAGTGCCATTTAATACAGCCTTAGATTTTCTTCATAAAGTTCTTCTTGATCTTTTGTTAGATATAATGCTGGATCCTAAGTTTAGCTCCTCTTATTCTACAAATCTCAGCATCATTACGATTGTTTGTTCCCGCATAACTCTGAATTCCTTGTTTACTTATCACTGACGGTTTCGATTTTTAGCTTACTATATTTTATAATATATCTTGACACTCAGGAATTTTCCTTGTGCTTTTGGCACTTACGCGTTTTTATGTTTCTTAAAATACTCAGAATCTTGTTCTAATGTAAAAGAAGGGTACTTTGGGATATTTAGTATGTCATATTGCCACAAGTTGAAGTGTTTAATTTTTAAGGAATACAAAAATGAGTAATCCACGATAAGATAAATGTTCATGACTGGAAGATTCAAAGCATTTTTCTTTCATTTTTGGGTATGTGTATACCATTTTAAAGCATCATTTATACATGTAAATATGTTTTCAAAGAAGTATCTAATAAAACTTAGATACTTTCTACCTAAGTAATTAACATTCGCTTAATGACAGCTGAAAGTGATTCCATTTATACTGATTTTTATCAGCTTACATTTTTTTCTCCAGATACAGGAAGTAGGTCATCTGGACATGAGAGTCCTTTGGAAAAGGTCATAAAATGAAGTAGGATGCATCTTGCCCTAACTAGGTAAAAATGGGAGCCTAATAAGATTTTCTTTTTGATCATTTGGAATTGATGGTTTAGACACTTGGTGCATTATTTGAGTCCTGTGGGCTCAGTGACTATCTTAAGCACACGATGGCAGGATATAGAAAACGCAGTAACAAATTAAATTTAGTTAGTTAGCTTTTATGTCAGGGAGAAAGATTCATGTTTGTTTTCGAACTAAATTCTTTAACTTTTTTGATTCCACGAAAATAAAAAAAATCATTTAAAACAAATATTTTGAGGCCAATTAAAAAACAGGTGCCACATTGTATTGTAAATAACGCAAGTGGCATCATTAATTTACTTCAGTCTTGTTGTAGGTTTATACTCAGGAAAGCTTCAGGACTAAAGGAGCTTTTATTTATCGAGGTGGGGTACCAGTGTAATCCCATAAATACATATATTGGAAAATATCTTGACTATACCAATTTGAGGTAGATGATAAAATTTAATACCAGTTAGACTTTATTAAGTATTTTTCAAGTAGCATTATCTGATTCTGTCTCAGTGTGTTACTGTGCTCCGGACACCATTTTGAGTCTCATTTTTCAGTGGGGAAACTAGGTCTCTGAGGATTCCTTTAACTTGCCCAAGGAAATGTGTTTAACAAGCAGTATGTGACAGTGTTTCTCAAACTTCAATGTGCATGTATGTAGTTCACCCCTGGCTCTTGTTACAATGCAGATTGTTATTCAGTCGATCTGGCTACAGATACTACATTTCTAATAGGTGATGGTTCTGGTACAAAGACTATACTTTGAGTAATAAGAATGTAAGAGGATTTAAATTTAGGTGTATCCGACTTTTAAGTTCTCATTCTTATCGGTTACACAGATACGTCCTTTGGCCTGAAGAAGTATCTAATTATAATTGGGGAAAAAAGTTAGGGCTGAGTAGTGTGCTCTAAACTACCGCTCATTCTGACTCATTAAAAATTGGATGTGTCAGTTGATACAATATTCTGGAAGGCTGTGAATTTGTCAATCCTGTATCAATTAATTATTTTTAAAAAATGATTCAATGAAATAAAATACGAAGTATTGCAAAAAGTTTCATTTTTATTTGAAGGTGAAAAACTTAAAACCTCTATTATTATTTAGCATGAAGGTTATCAACCTAAGGCACCTTTGGAAGTATAGATGTAAAATCTATCAAAGAGAAGTAAACAACTTTTTTTTCTCGCATATCTGAAGAAATTATACAATAGTTTGTTTGATAATTCACCTTTTTTTCCCTTTAACGGAGATGAACTAGAGTTTTGTTTTGGTACAATTATTACTTTTCAATATCTGCAGTAATTTTTTGTGCATGCATGTGCACAGACTTTATGTATTTGGACATTAAGTTTTTAATTATATCTTTTATAGCCTGGTGATTAAAAACTAAAACACAACTTATTCCTTTACACTTAACTCATGTTTGTTATATGTGTAGCTCTAAACTACTTAAAGCAATATTTTCTTTTTCAGTTTCACCACTTATTTTGACTTTCTGTTCACATTCATTTTGTGCCATGGTCTTTGACCTGTGCCATCAACCAGCCTTAGGAAAAGCTGGAAGAACAATTGTTACCAAAAAAAATTTGTTGCTTTTGCCCTAAAAGCCTGCCTTTGATAGCAAAACAGAATTTTGCCCTCAAATAGTTGTTTATTTGGTTTTGTCTTATTTTTTGTGAGGATATAAAAATGTGTTATGAGACTGATGATTTACATACATTAGGTTCTTCCAGACAGCCTATGAAGTAAAAACCTGTTTACTATTGTTTTACAACTGAGGAAATTCAGAGAGGACCAGGGTTCTTGTTGAGATTGTATAGGTAACATGAGGTCATGGTAGAATTCAATTTTAGGACTTCTCTTTCTTAATCCATTATTTTAAAATAGAGGTACTGGGGATTGAACCTACGACCTTGTGCATGCTAAGCATGTGCTGAACTAAACTCCCCCCCCCCTTTTTTTTTTTTTCTGTTTAAGCCTACACTGGTAATTTCAACCATTTAATTTCAAAGATATATCTGTAAATGACTTTTTCTGACACTTGCTAAATCTGTGTCTCAGAAACTGCCTCAGTATGATTATCCTATTAACAGTGTTGAATTATACTTAAGAAGTCTCAAATCAGTGTTTGGAAGCAAAAAGGAAACAATCATTTAACATTGTTATTAACATTTATTTTAGCCTGAACTAGGCTGAAAAATCTGCAAGTGTTAATGAACAATTCGTGGGAGAAAGCTTTTCAGTAGAGTAGTCCAGCATCCAGTGGTGCCTCCTGAACAACGGAGGTAAATGAAACCAGGGCTCATTATTCACCACACAGCCCAGCCAGGGAGATTTACTGAGTACATGAAGGTCTCTGGATATTTTGCTTGAAGGAAGTAGGATCAGGGTTATCATAAATAGATTTTTCTAGTGGCATTTTTTCAGTTATGGTATATCATGTCTCCCTCTGGTTGTCCTGGTAACTTTAATTAAAACTTCTGTCTCTTATGAAGCTTTAAATACTGTAATATGCCCCATCTCTTAATCAACCTTGATGTTTGGCTTATGGTTAGTTAATGAAAAGAAGAAGATGACAGATGTTTGCAAATAACTATTAAAGTAGGGTTTTTTTTTCTCCTGACACTAGATAGTTTAATCGAATTGTTTTCTTACATTTCTTCAACTCTCATTTCTGGTAGTTCTATACATTTTATTTGTTTGTTAGCAGTGCCTATAGAAATTGC